TTTCTTTATGGATTTCCATGATGTCTAAAGTATTTATAAGGAGGTAAGTGTTAGTTTTATAATTAAAGAAAAAAGATTGATTTTTATTTTTTCATATAAAGAGTATGTTTACAAATTCCATGGAAGTCTGATCAAGATGGTGAAAGCCTGGATGCAAGAAGAAAAAAGAGTAAAGTCTGTTCAGAACCAGTGTTTCATCTGGCAAGGAGAACTCAGAGCCACAAGAATCTTCAAACTCTTGGAGGGCTGCTAGCATGGAGATTATGAATTATTCTTATTTTGAATTGCTGTAGAGGGAAAAACTAGGGTCAGCAGATGGAAGGAGGAAAAGTTTTTGAGTAGAAAGAAAATTATCCAACAATCAGGAGCATTAAAAAATGGAATGGACTGCTTGTGTGGTAATGATGTCGCATTTTGGGAGTATTTAAACTGAAGCTAGCTGACTTCTTGTCTGATTTCTTAAAGAAAGAATTTTAAAAAAAGATTAAAATATTATTGACATATAACATTATATTAGTTTCAGATACAGAACATAATGATCCAATATTTGTTTATTTTGTGAAATGATCACAAGTCCAGTTAGCATCCACCACTATACAGTTACAAATTTTTTTTCTTGTAATGAGAACTTTTAAGATCTGCTGTGTTAGCAACTTTCAAATATATAATGCAGTACTATTAACTATAGTCACCATGCTGTACATTACATCCCCATGACTTACTTATTTTGTGATTGGAAGTTTGTACCTTTCAGTCATCTTCTTAAAAGAGAAAGAATTCTTAAAAGAGATATCTGAACAAGTGAAATCATAAAACAAACAAAAAGCAAGAAAACAACCACACAGGTGATTTTTCACCATCCAAGTGTTTTGAGATTTTTTTTTCTCTCAAAATGAATCAAGTAAATACAATACAGAAAAGCTGGCACTAAGGTTTAAGAAAATTACTCTATACCTCGTACTTCATATATAAAATGGGGATAATAGTACTTATCTCATAGGGCTGTTGTAAATATTTAAAAAATTACATACAAAATATTTGGCACAGTGCCAACATATGGAAAAAGCTCAATAAATGTTAGATGCAATTTCAAACAATCTGTAATCAATGTGATACAGAATATTTGGTAAAGCAAAAATTTACACAGCAACAATGAATAACAGATTTTGGGAGTATTTTTGAGCAGATGGTGTTAGAGGATGACAGGGAACCACTACACTACATCTTATGAAATAAAAAAAGTTTGATTAAAACATTAATTTGCAAATGAAGGAACTGATCACTCTAGAGTTCTAGAATATAGTGGATGAATTTGATACCTGCCTTTTAAAAATACACACCAACTTACTTTTCACTTCTTACTTCTTATCAAGTTCCTAACAGACATGGACACTTCAACGTTTAGTTAATCGTCATGTTATGCCTTCCCTGTGATGTGATAAACACAAGAGCCCCTAACCAGATATGCTTTTTCTCATACACAGAAACATTCTAGCTAATATATTAAAACCCTTTTAAATTGTTTGCTTTCTCTATTTTTTGTTTTACCTGAGCTCTGAGGCAGTTGGGCGAACAGCTGTTTGTAGTGGAGTGTGCAATTCATTAGAGTAAAAGGTGTCTGACAAGATGTCAGCTCCTTCAAGCTCCCTGCAGTAGTAGGGCCTGCCGTGAATTACCTCCATGTTTCTTGGCTAAAAAGGCACAATCTGCAAAAGAAAAGGCGGACGCACTTGATTAAGGAGACAATTGACTTGGTCACTATCACACTGTTCTCCCTCAGGGCAGGCAGGAAACATGGTTTGTACTGCTAAATTGTACTGCTAATTCTGTGCAACACAATGCTGCACAGAAATCATGGGCTTACTTCCTCACAGAGAGCCTGTATGTGGACCCTCAGGGGTCATGTCAGTAATAGAAACTGCAGTTCTGTGGAAATGAATTTCAACGGAAGCAAATCCACAAAGTGAAAGAACTCAAGTAGAGTCTGAACACGACGTGGATGACTTGTTGGCCCATACAAGGCCTGCACCTTGCGGACATCGACTAAAATTCAATTCTTGCCTCAATTTTAACCATAACTATTCAAGAAAACACAGCTGACCCCCCGCTCTGGTCTTTTTAAAAAAGCAGGTAGATTCCTCATCCGACAGAATCAACAGCTGTGCTTCTAAAGTCTTCAGGGATTCTGAACGAGAAATTCTCTGTAGAGAGTGGAGAATCAGCGGCGCACCACCATGAGCCGGACCCACCCCTCCCTCGGACTTGGAGGGGGAAGCCGAGGACGCTCCCTCAGCGCCCGGCCCAGCTGTGCCTAAGGGGTTCGGACGCACCTGGGACATCAGCCTGGGAGTAGTCCGCGACCGACCGCGCCTCCCCTTCCCCTCCCCAGAGCTGGTGGGCCTCTGCGGGGCGTGGAATTCCGCCGCCGTCCGCACCTGCGGCCCGGGGAGCTTGCGTGCAGGTGCGGGTGAAGGGGAGAGAGGGTCGGCAGGCAGGCCAGGGGTGGGGTTGAGGGTGCCTGTGACGGCAACCGTGACCGTGGCACTAGGTAATGCATTCTTGCGGGGCGGCAGGCTTTGGGAGGCGAGTAGGAGGCGGCAGGCGGCTCCTAAAGGTTTCAGAAGAAGCCAGCCTGCGAGAGAACTGAAATCGGACGGAAGGTGAGGAAAGGGAACGAAACGTCTACTTCCGGGGCGAAAAAAAGTCTTCTGCTGCCCTAGGCCTTAGGCCCCGCCCCGCCCCCGGGCGCGCCCTGCCGGCCGCGTCTTTTTCTCCTTCGAGAGCTTCCGGTTCTAGAGCTGTTCCCGCCACCAGCGTTCTCTGTGGACTGGGCGGTGGAGCAGTGCAGGGCCAGGGATACGCTGGTGAGCTGAGAGCCTCCGATTCGTCCGTGTTCCTTAATCCCAGACCCCACGGCCTAGTCAGGGCGGCCCCCGCAGACTCATCAAGTGCAGCCCCTGATTCCTGCCCGTCAGAGCCATGGCTCTTCCTGCCCTGTGTGGGCGCGGACATGGTACACGGACAGTCGACCTGCGGTTGCCCTACCCAATCTCCAGAGGCCGAGCCCCGCTTCCATTACCTCAGCTACCCGCCCCCTTCCTAGGAGAAGCGAGTGTGAACTGCGTCTCTGCAACTACAGGGCCATGAGGTTCTGAGACGGCTGAGACCCGAGTCCCTGAGAAGGACCCCGATGTGGGAAGGTTTCTCTTCGGGGAGAGGCTAGAACTGAGTCTCCGCGAACACAGAAGGTAGGGGCCGGAGTGACCACCTCCAGGAGGGAGTGTCACAGCTCCGTTCAGCCCACTGGTGGGTGTTCCTTTTGTGCTATGCCTTCTAGGTGAGTGTTAGCTGATGCGTGGGAAAGAAAGGTGCACTGGAGTAGGCAAGGTGGTAATTTTGTATTCCTGGTCTATTTCTTAGTTCCTGCACCTTTCCCCGACTCTTGTCATTATTACCCACTAATCTTGGAAGAGTAGATTTTTCTGGAGACAAAGTTGTGAATTAAATGAAGTTTGACTTTCTCTTTGACTCCTTTTAACTTTTATTTTTCCTTCTTGTAGAAGTCCATTTGAACCTTTTTGCTATTGCAGTGTTTTCAGGATCCCCCATTAAATTATCTTGTCAGCTTAGCCCATTTTATGCAGCTAGCCTCCCAGTACTTTCCATACGCCACATTTTCCCCCATGCGTGACTTTATTCCAACTTTCTCATAGCTTGATTCGTCTGAGAGGTAAAAACTGAGTGTAATAGATTTAATCGGGGATATCTGATGAAGCTTGTGTCACTCGCCACGTATTAGTATGTATGGTGGATGGTTGTGATACCAGGGAAGTAGGGGCAACTCCAGGTTGATTGACCAGGATATGTGGTGATAGCCTCTAGGTTCTTACGAGTTTGAAATTTTATTTTAGGTCAAATGAGTGTAAAGAGTAGGAAAATGTAATTACTTAATTTTACCTTTGTTATTTTCAAGTAAAATTTACAGGCAAGTGAAAATTTGTTGTCAGATCTTTGTAAAACAGTTGTTCTCTTTGGAGATGCTTCTCCATCTGAAAGATTCTCAGGGATGTCAGGATTGGGTCTGTTTGACCAACGCTCTTTAATCTAGGCTTTTATTTCTTAGATATATCATGGCCACCACTGGGGTCAGTAACCTCACGTCACCTTTCTACTTCTCCTACAATGTTGACTTCTCTTCACTGCCTCATTTACCTTAATGTATTTGTTTGCTTTCTGCATTACTAGTAATCCTTCCAGCAGGGAAGATGAAATTTGGAAGTGAAGAAAAATGTATGTGCAGAATGTTGTGTCTGGGTTAACAAAAATTTCAGACCACTAAAGCTAGACCTTTAACTATCAAGAAAAGAATAGGAAATATATAATAATGTAAAGCATGAATTAGACTTATAACCTTTTTACATGATGTTATAGAGACCTTTAACCAAGTGGCATTTGTTCATAAATAAAGTAAATATAAGTAAAATACGTTTTGAGGAACTTAGTACTTCTTGGCAGATATGAGTATTTTTATTTTTATTTTTCCAGTTTTATTGGTATAATTGACATATAGCACTGTATGTTTAATGTATACAGCATAATGATTTGATATACATACTATGAAAATGAATAAAGGAAAAGTTCACTCAAAATGGAGTCAGGAAGCCGTGAGGGGGATCTTTCACACATGTACTACTCATTGCAGCTTAATTTACATACCATAGCAGGAAGAAGGAAGATTTTCCTCTTGCTTAGAAATAACTGAGCCAATGAGATACTGCTGCAACTCAGCCAATGAAGAACTGCTACAACTCGAAATCTCACTCCCCAATGAACTTTCATACAAATAGCCCCTCCTAACTTCCTCCTTACTTCTGTAAAAGAACATGCCTTCTTTGTCTCCAAACTGGTTCGCTGTAGTTCCATATCCTGAATTGCAGTTCATCTGCTGTTCCCAAATAAACTTGATTTTGCAGGCTAAACCGTTACCTTTTTATTTAAAGGTTGACATTACTTGGTGTCAGAAGGGGGATCTGAAGGAGATGAACCCCTGAAGAGCTAATGATCCCTGGAACCATGCATGGTACATACTTGATTCTCTTGTGCTTGCCACTTCCTTTTGGTTCGGTAAGTCTTCTCTCAGATTCAAGCTCCCTTTTTTTTTGATTGAGCTCTCTAACTTATTTGGGATCTGTTTTTGTTTTTGTGAAGGCTTTGACTTTTTGGCGAGTACTCATTTGTTTTCTGAACCTCTGGGTTTGTTTTTGTTTTTTTTTTTTAAATCCCAGTTCTCTAAATTCTCTCAAGAGGGTCCTTCTGGGACTATGACTGATTTTATGTTCAAAAACTATGGTCTCTTTTTATGCACATTTTTAACTAAATGGACCAACTTAACCAAAAATAATTTAAAAGTCCAGTGGTCATTATGGGGAACTTTCAACATCTCCAAAGTTGTTTTTCTCAGAACTAAATAGAAAATCATGGCTCTAAAATTAAACAAACTGAAAGGATGCATATTTTAATTAATACCTGGAGGCCTCCAAATGCATTCAAAATTCTAAAATCACCTCTTTACAAAATTTCATTTCTAAATTTACCAAGGGAAACAAAAAATTGGAAAAAAAAATCCAAAAAGGCTTCTGAGGCCTCTTTTTCTTCTCCTCTGTTCTCTGTGTCTTCAGCACCATCTTCCTCTTCCTTCTGCACCATCCCCACCTCCTATACCCTTGTTTCCTCATTCTAATCCTCTCGCTGAACTTCGCATTTCTCTCTGGGCCTCTCCCTGCCTCTCTCTCTCCTGAAACTACTAAAATCTGCTGCTTTAAAAATCAGACCCTATGAGGATCCAAATGCTAAACCTTTAATTTCTCATGTTCTCTGGACTAAAGTTAAACTGTGAGCCACAGTCAAGGATTTTTGCAAGGTAACTGAGGATCCCCACAGGTTTGCTAAGGAATTTAATGTAGTCACTCAAACTTACTTCTGGTTTCTGGTTTCTCTGACTTACAGCAGCTAGTTCATATGCTTGTTTGTGAAGGCCAGGCCCAACACTGGATGAAAACTGCTAATTGGGGTTTTGCTGAGAAGGCTTTAGAATTACAACCTGGGGACAAAGAAATCTTTGCCTTTTTATTATATGATCACGCTCAGGGAATCGCCAGGTGACTCCATTTGGTATTTCCTAAGGCTTTCCCAAAGCCAGCTGATTGGAATAAGATTCAGGCTTGTACCCAGAAGCCCAGTGAGCCTGTGCATGATTACCATAGCTGGCTCTAAATTGTCTTTAAAGAAAATTCTGGTCTCCCTTTCAATGTTGAATCCATTTGGGTAGCCTTTAACCCTGTGTTCATTAACAGGCCGAACCAGGATCTTTCTCTTTAGTTAAAATGACCAGGATGGAATGAGAAACTATATCCATTCCAGATTTAGTGGGGAGGGTATAGCTCAGTGGTAGAGTGTGTGCTTAGTATGCACAAGGTCATGGATTCAATCCCCAGTGCCTCCATTAAGTAAGTAAATAAAGAAATAAACCTAATTACCTCCCCTAAAAACAAACAGCTTACACATTCCAGATTTAGTTAATTTAACGAACCAGCTTGCCCATACCCTATATGATTCAACTGAAATGAGGACCACTAAAATCTTCAATTTTCAATCCCACAAATAGCCTTTGCCAATATTGCAAAAGGGCAGGGCATTGGAAGAAAGACAGTTACAAGCTTAAGCACTCCAGGTACCGTCAACCCTCTAATCAGCCTTTCTAGTGCTCTCCTAACTCACAATGATGGTACTCCGAGGAATTACAGGTTTTTTGTTTTTTTTTTCCCCCTCAATTTTTCCTCTTAATCAACTTGGAGAAACCAATCTCCAGATTGAGAATTAATCTGTCTCTGTCCTTATTGACACTGGGTCTTTACTTTTGGTGCTCAAACCCAGTGTTATTAAACAGCCCCTGCCTTGGAGACTAAAATGGTTCAAACGAGGGGGGGTATCAAATAATCTCAACAGGTTTATGTTTCTAAACCTATCCCATTTTGTTTAGGCTCTCTAAGAGATACTCAACCTTTTCTCCTTAGTTGTTTTGCCCCTATTCACTTATTGGGCCAAGATTCCTTAGAAAAATACATGCTGGAATTCCTTCCTCTCAAGAAGAAATAATTCTAGAATTTAATAGCAGCAACTTAAATAGCTGGGTGAATCAAATGACCCTTCAACATTTTTTATTTGCTGTCTCTGGCACCACTGGAGCTAATTCTAAGGACACTAATCATTTGCCCCTGAGGATCAGCTACCACCCTTCTGGGCAAAATCCTCCACTGATATTGGCAGAATCCACAGTACTCCTCCTATTAAGATCCAAATAGATCCCTCAAAGCCTTTCCCCAGGGGGGACATTAGGTCATCAGATAACAAAGTAAGACAGCAAGAGAGGAAGCAAGGAAGAAAGAATTTGCAAAACAGAAAACAGTTAGCAAAAGGATGATGGCAATTACTTACCCATCAATAATTACTTTAAATACAAATGGATTAATTTCTCCAATCAAAAGACATAGAATAAGTGGATAAAAAATAACTAAGATTCAGGGATTTGCTACTCACAAGAGATGCACTTTAGGTTTAAGGACACATATAGACTGAGAGTGAAGGGATCAGAAGAGTTATTTCAAGCAAATGATAACCAATAGAAAGCAGGAATAGGTATACTTAGACAAAATACACTTTAAGCTAAAAATAGTCCAAAGAGTCAAAGAAGGTCGCTACATAATGACAAAGATGTCAATCCATCAAGGAGATAAAACAATTGTAAATATTTATACACCCCAAAACAAAGTCCCTAAATATATAAAGCAAATACTAACAGAACTAAAAAGAAAAACAAATAGCAATATAATAATTGGAGACTTTAGTACTGCATTATCAACAAAGGATATACCAGACAGTGAATCAATAAGAAAACAGCAACTTAAACAACACTATAGACCAAATAGTTTTAGCACACACATACAGAATCTTCCATCCCAGCAACAGAATATACATTAAGTGCACATAGAACATTTTCTAGGATAGATCATATATTAAGCCACAAAACAAATTTAAGAAGATTGAAATCACACCAAGTTATCTTTTCTGACAGCAGTGGTACGAAACTAGAAATCAATAATAGAAGAAAGATTGGAAAATTCATATGTTAGCCCAAAGCTAACATATTCAACAATGAAAGGGTAAAAGCTTTTCCTCTAAGATTAGGAACAAGACAAGTTTCCCACTCTCAACACTTCTACTCAACATAGCACTAGAAGTCCTAGCCGGAGTATTCAGGCAAGAAAAAGAAATACAAGACATCCAGATTAGAAAGGAAAAAGTAAAATTGTCTCTGATTGCTGATGACATGATCCTTTATATAGAAAAATTTAAAGACTCCATCAAAAAACTGTTAAAACTAATAAACAATTTCAGTAAAGTTACAGGATAGAAAAAAATCATTTGCATTTCAATACACTAACAACAAATTATCTGAAAAATAAAGCAATCCTGTTTACCACAGCATCAAAACCAACAAAATACTTACGGATACATTTAACAAAGGATGTGAAAGATCTGTTCACTGAAAACTGTAAGGTAATTAATTACAAAATTAAGGAAGATGCAAATAAATGGAAAGATAATCTATGTTCATGGATTGGAAGAATTAATATTGTTAAAATGTCCATAATAGCTATAGATTCAGTGCAATCCTTATCAAAATTCTAATGGCATCTTCAAAAAAATGGGAAAAAAACCCCTAAAATTCATATGGAAGCAGAAAAGACCCTGAATAGCCACAGCAATCCTGAGAAAGAAAATTAGAGGCATCACACTTCTTACTTCAAACTGTATTTCAAAGCTGTAGTAATCGAAGCAGCATAGTATTTGCATAATAACAGCCACAAGGTCTAATGGCACAGAATTGAAAGCCCAGACTTAAACCCACATTTACATGGTCAGCTAATATTACAAGGGAGCTAAAAATACTCAATGTGGAAAAGATAGTCTTTTTAATTCATGGTGATGGGATAACTGGATATCACAAGGGAAAGAATGAAATTGGACTCTTACACCACTCACAAAAGTTAACTTGAAATAAAGACTGAAACATAAGATCTGAAACCATAAAACTCCTAAAAGGAAACACAGGGGAAAAGCTCCTTGACATTGGTCTTGGAAACAGTTTTTTGGATGACACAAGCACAAGCAACAAAAGCAAAAATAAGTGGCGCTACATCAAACTGAAAAGCTTCTGCACAGCAGAAGAAATGATCAACAAAATGAAAAGGCATCCTTTGGAGTGGGAGAATATATTTACAAGCCACATATCTGATAAGGGGTTAATATCTAGAGTAAATAAAGAACTCGTACAACTCAGTAGTGAAGAAACCCCAGGAAATCTGATTTAAAAATTGGCAAGGCACCTGAATAGACATTTTTTCCAAAGAAGATATTCAGGGTACATGTAACAGTGCTCAGCATCACTAATTGTCAAGGCAATGCAAATTAAAACCAAAATGAGATATAATCTTACTCCAGTTAGAATGGCTGTTATTAAAAAGACAAGAGATAAAAGTGCTGGCATGGATGTGGAGAAAAGGAAACCCTTGTGCACTTTGGTGGGAATGTAAATTAGCACAGCAACTATGAAAAACAGTGTGGAGGTTCCTTAAAAAATTAAAAGCAGAACTACCATATGGTACAGAATTTTCACTTCTGAGTATATTTGTATCCAGAACAACTGAAATCACTATCTTGAAGAGATCTCTGTACCCAGTGTTCATCACAGCAGTATTTACAATAGCCAAGAGATGGAAACAACCTAAATGTCCGTTGATTGATGAATGGATAAAGAGAATGTGGAATGTATATGTATGTGTACATATATATAAAAATGGAATTGGTAAAAATAATTTGAGCATTATCTCATGTGTGTATTTTAGTTGCATATATATCATTTTATCAATATACAATTCTACACCTATTGGTGGTAAAATATGCACATTAAAATGAGAAATTTTGTAGGTTTATATATACTGCTTACCAGGTTTCTTCCTTTTTTCCCATTACTTCATTTATTGCATAAATGTTAATTAAGTGAC